GCCTGAGCGGCCCTCCCTCGTGCTCCAGCTGGCGGAGGGAAGGCTGGGGTTGATTCTTCCCCACCTTCCAGGAACAAAGCCTGGAGTGGGCCTGGGCCTTGCTGCTGGAGGAGGTGGGCCTCAGCTTTGCCGGGCCGGCCGGAGCACTGGGGAGGGGCGCTTGGCAGCATGCTGCTCCTGCCTTACCCTGGCCAACTGGTGGTTGGTACAGAGCTGTTCCCTTATAGGACTGTGCTACTGGTAGCAGTTTCTGATTTGTACAGGAAGGAACTATTCCCGTAAGATAGTGCTACCCGAAGTAGCACAACCCTACAAGTAGCAATTACATATCGTGCTTTAGCGACGAGGAGTCCTGTGGCACCTTATAGACTAACTGAAGTGGGTCTTTGCCCACGAAAGCTTATGCTCCTACACTTCAGTTGGTCTATAAGGTGCCACAGGACTCCTCGTTGCTCTTGCAGATTCAGACTAACACGGCTACCCCTCTGATACTTGATATCGTGCTTTGTGGGACCATTGGGGGTGCATTCGCACCCTTGCTGTCCACATTTACAAAAAAAGCACTCCCTCCCCCCCCGAAAAATTCCTGAGTATGAGACTGTCCTGGACCACAGATGTTGCCAGACCACAGAGTGATGGTTTTCAGAGGTGCAACCTGTATAAGGTTATAGGACTTTGTAATCCTTTGTAATTTCATGACTCCAGAAATTGAATCTATAAAAACAAAAAACCAAACTAACCAACCAACCAATCAAAAACCACATACCATATGTCATAAAAGTTGGGAACACTATGATGTACTCCCTGGTCTGAAGATTTTATAATATGAACAGATAAAGTGTCCAGTTTTACAAATAAGACACAGCTCATGGCTGTAGTGTTGGAAACTAGACAGTCTTGTCTACAGTTCTGTATAGGGTTCTGGCTTAAGTGACTTGCCTATCTGCAAAAAGGAAATTTAAGGCAAAAGTATGGCACTGAATTCTCCTAAGTCCCAGACCACTGCAGCCAGCAATGTTCCTGTATGAACAGGGAGGGGAGAGCTGCAGTTCCCCCTCCCTCAAAGGGTGCCTGTGGGGTGGGAGGCTTGGGGCTGGGGCATTCCCAGATGGGGGCCGGGGGCATGCCCCCAGTCAACTCTTTACTTTCCTAGTGATCCTGTCCCTTTTCTGTATGGTTTATTGCTAATGCATTCCCATATGCATGGGGGAAGAACCTTCAGCTTCCCCTGCACAACTAAATCCTTACCTTGCTGTATACCAAATTTGGTGGTCTTAGCTCTGACCGTTTAGGAGGAGTTCTTGAGCAGATGGACAGACAAACTCACTTGGTTGCTTGCTGACAGATAAACTTTCTCAAATATATAGTAGATTTTAGATTGTCCACTAATAAGAATGTGTTTATTTATTTATTTATTTTTACAAAATATTCAGAAAACACTATATACATTTTTATTTTATATTATTATGTATGCTTATTGGATTATACTATTTTTATTTTATATTAATTATTATGTATGCTTATTGGATTATACTATTATTTCAATTAATTACCCCAAACTGTACAATTATTCTTTGAACAGTGGAACATGTCACAAAACTAGCTAGCAGTGATAAAAGCAGTTGACATTTAAATTGCTACAGTAAAACTAAAAATCAGACAACAAACTCAAAGCTAACATAAACAGGCTGGGCAACTTTGACTACAGTGGAGTTTACTACTCACATCAGGTCTAAATTTGAACTTATATATATATTTTAAATTCCTCACCATAGTTACTAATGTCTAAAATTATTAAAATTGAGAGGATGTGTTAATTTGTTCGTTGTTTATACAGTTTACTGTTTACATGTCTCTCCTTTTGGATATCAAAAGTAATTGGGGCAAACCTTACCTCTGATCTGTGAGTCAAACAGTAAGCTTGGTTAGAAGAAGCTTAATAGGAAATTTGAATCTAGCAACATAGAGCCTTAGTGAAGCAGCAGAGTGGTAAAGGAGGGAGTTAGAAGACCTGAGCTCTATTATTGTTTCTGATATTGAGTTGCTATGTGACCTGGGCCAAGTAATTTAACATTTCTGTGTCTCAGTTTCCCCATCAGTAAAAGGGGAATGTGCTTTGAAAGCTATGGATGAAAATTACTATTACGAGATATGATTAAAATATGTAGGACATGTTTTTTTTTAATGTATATTGTTGTTTGGTCTCTAAGCTGAGGTATCTGCAAAGGCAATTCATTTCTCTGGCAGCAACTCTGCCCTTTGCCTTTCTCTTTTTCCTTCACTGCTTTGGGTTTTCTTCATGCAGCCAACAAAATAAGAATCCCATTTTACATGATCTGAAAATACTAATAATAGGCATGCAGGTGCATTTTGCAAAGACATCAAGAAGCGGTGAGTGACATATTGCTATGTAAGCAAATATTTTTCCAAGCAGAAAATACTGCTGATGGCAAGGCTTAGCCCTACATTTATATGACAAAGTTAATTATAAAGAATATAAAACAAAGCAAAAAGGAGGTAGTATTTCAGTCCAGGCTGTGGCCAGAGCTGAAGCAAACAACCAAATGAAACACTTTTTAAAAAACATTTGCAGTGTCTCCTTTGCTGAATAATGTCATCTATTATATATTTGAGAGACTTTGTGCATCTATGTGTCCATCCGTTTGTGAGTCTGTTTGTTCGAGAACTCCTGCTAAACGGTAAGAGCTAAGACCACTAAATTTGGTATGCAGCTTCCTCTTATGATAACTTTGAGCAAGGTCAGGGTTTGGTTGTGCCAGGATAATGGGATATGTGTGGAATGCAATTGTTTCTTATTAAATGGAAAGGGAAGGCTGTGGTAGCAGGGACAGTAATACTCTAGAATGACCAACTGGGGGCAACAAGCAAGTGCTTCCCAATCACCCAGACAGCCCCAAGCCAGCCCTGGGGAGCAGCATCACCAGTGGGCTGGGTAGTGCGGCCCCCGCTGCTCAGGGTTGGCCTTGAGAAGTAACATTGATAATGACCCCACCCCCTTCCCCGAGTCCCCAACTCCTGATCTGACTCTTACATCTCCACTCTCTCCCATGTGACTCCATCATATCTCAGTCTCCTGCCCTGATTTCTGCACCCTCTGCACTTCCAGCCCCCGGCTCTGAAGGACCTAAGCAACACTGGGAAAATCTTCAACTTTTGAAATATAGGAAGATGTGGGTGAATGGAAAAGAGAATAATATTTACTAAAACTCAGCTGTGAGGACTTGTGGAAAACAGGCATTTTCATTATCTCGACTTTCTGCATATGGTGTAAGATGGGGTGGAGAGACTAAACGATTTGACTTGGTGACCCAAAAATCAATTTCTCCTTAGTTTCCACACACTGCGCCATATTCATTGCATGTGTAATTTCCTTGAAATCAATAATGAAAATGGATATGAATTCAGGAAAGAATATGCCCCAGTTAGCTTACTATCACAGCAGTGCTGTTATATAGAATTCTATGTTAATAATAGTTTCCACAAAGAAAGAAAACTTCTGCTTGAAGTTTAAAATTAAATATTACAACATTAAACATAAAATTAAAAGGAAATTAAAACACTATGACCTACAGTTATAGGGTAAATTGTTTGCCCTGCATGAATGTGAATTGGTCAGAATGCCTATAGTGAGATGAAAGAATTAATGTTATATTGGAGATCTCTAACAATATCAGTAAAGCCTTAATTCCATGCCACAAAATTTTGCCCTTAGCTTCTTATTATGCACATCTATGTTCTCAGAGATTCTGTGATAGTGATTTTCTTTGGTTTCCAATACTGCCTTACCACTCCCTAGTTCCTGTCAGTGGTAAAGTTACTGGAGCTGATTGACAAAAGTTGCCATTACCAGAGGAATGAGCTAACAAGTCTATTGCTTCTCTTAATTGAGAGACGATAGACACCAGTTGAAGAGTCCACTCCTTCATCTCCCAAAAACATCACTGGCAGCAACAATCTGTGTTTCCCAGATTGCTCTCCCAAGTGGGGTGTAGACAGAGCAGTTTAGCCGATTATGACAATTTGGAAAAGCAGCACCTTTATTACTGTTACCAGTTATCAGGCACAGTGGCGGCAGCACAAATAGAAAGATGAAGATAAAGAAACAGGGAAGATGTTAAAGTTGCTGATCATCTATCAATAGTGGGGATTGTGTGTGTGTGCACGCGCGCACATGCATGCGCAGACAAGAAGGAGCAAAGGTGAGGTGAACGGCATGTGCATGCGCAGACAGGAAGGAGCAAAGGTGAGGTGAACGGCATGCTCATTGTAGGTCACAGAAGTGTGATTTCTCAGATCTCAGCAAGACAGTAGCAGCTAAGGTAAGCACTGAAGTAATCTTAATAGCTAAGCAAACTTCACTAGCAAGGATGCAGAATCAGCATCACTTAGTTCTATAGTATTCATCATAATGTTTACAGAGCTTTATAGAGTTACAGAACTATACATGTTGAAGAATCATTCCTCCTACCACCAAAATGGTGTTTTAAACAGCACCTACCAACCTTCTACAATTATTTAGTACAAATGAAGGAGGAAATCGTGTTTAAGCA